AGTCGCGTGTATTCTCCACTCTCTCAAAAATATATATATATAGACACACACACACACACATACATATAGGTTAAACACTAGGATACACAAAATCCTTTATTTGAAAGGGCTAGATCACCGTTGGTGACCTCATTACCAGCTCAAAATCTCTGATTTCCTTTATTTTTTTCCCCTTCTTTGAACCTTTACTATTCTAATTTGTATATTTATTTTTTTCATCAATTCAAAGGCGGTCCAATTTATATATATATATATATATATGCGCAATAAAAACTCTCTATCATTCTTCACATCTCCGTCAATATTCTCAAAAGGGCAACTTATTATTAAGCACTGGTTGGCTCTTTCCTTGTTTGCACACAAAAATTGGCATATTCACTCTCCCCACCATGGATTCAAAGAAGCTCTTCTTTTCCTCCATCTTCTGCTTCTTCTTCTTCTTCTTCTTCTTAAATATCCTTCTCTCATCAGGTAATAATAATTATCTAAAACAACTTGATTATTACCTTAATTTGCTCCCAATTATAGTTCTTTTTTTTTTCTTCATATAATTTTCTTTGTATGATTTGTGTGTTGAATTATATATATAATATATATCTATATATGTAATATATATACGGTTTCAGCTCATTCTCATCATCACCACCATCACCATGGACATGATCTCTTTAGTTTTCGGCCGACAAAGCTGTTTGTCTTCGGAGACTCGTACTCCGACACAGGCAACAACAGGAAATCCGAAGCCAGTTCTTGGAAATATCCTTATGGAATCACTTTTCCTGGAAAACCCTCCGGCCGTTTCTCCGACGGTCGTGTCTTGACCGATTTCGTAGGTAATTCTCTCTCTCTAACATGTAGTGTCTTTCTTTTGTTTGAGCCTATTAGATACCGGTGGCGAACGCCATTTACTAATAAAATATGAATTATGTATCATTAGAATGAGAAGTGAGTCCATCTTTTCTTAGCGACGGTGCCCGGCGGTAGCTCAAGCTTTTTTATTCATCTTTAGTTTTAGTTTATTTATTTATTTATTTATTTATACATATAACAAAGTGATTGGTTTGCTTTAGATAGTATTCTTTTTTGTATTATATTTAAACTAAAATGCTTTTTTCTTTATGTTCTTTCGATCTATAATGGTGGGCTCTTTTTCTTGTATCTTAGCTTGCCACGCACCACTTTTACTCTCTTAGTGTATGATTGCATGTAAATTTTGCAATTATTGAGTCCACTCTTTTCTTTTTTCTTTTTTTCTCTTTTTTTTTTCCTGCTAAAGCATTATATTGCGTTGAGTTACTTTGTTTTTTTTTTGTTTTTTTTGTTTTTTTCCCTCTTTCTTATAGCTATACCATGTCAGATTGGTATATATTTTGGCTACTTTCTCACGTGGCGTCCCCAGCTTTTGGACAGTTTCTCTTCGTTTATGTGT